TTTAAATAGAGCAGCTACACCTCCACCTCTCCTAACAGTCCTGCAGACAATCATGAAAGTAAAGTTAGGAGGGGCTGTTTCATTGAAGACCGTTGCACTGCAGCTGTCTTCTAGCCATGTTTCGTTTAGAAACATACTGTAAAATCCAGGTTGTTTGTGGTTATTAAGTCATTGACTAGAAATGATTTATTTTTTAGTTAGCGAATGTTTAAAAATGCTAAATTGATGGCATTGCATTTTGTCTCAACAGCAATATTAGTTGATGCCTAACAGGCATCAAACTAATACGCAGATTAGATGAGACAGCCGTACGGCTTGAGAAGGCCTTAGACTTTCTATCACGTGATAAAACTGAAATAGAGAAAACTACAGGCACACTGGGTTCCCTCTTGGTCTGTAAACATTTGTGAATGTTGCTGCTATTATTTGCTGGGACCCGACACATATCACTGAGAGCTGTTATCAGTTGTTTTTGGTTCACCTACAGCAGATGGAGGGTTTGGGCCCTGGCATTGTGGCAGCAGCCGGAGAGCTCTCACAGGAGGAGGAGGACGAGCTGGGCCCACAGTCTTTGGTGGTTGTGGGGCCCGCCGTTTTTTTAGTTGATATCTGGGGGCTTGCAGCGAATGAGTGGGAGAGTTTGGTCCCATCATAAACCAGTCCCTCCATTTTCTGTGAGAAGCTTAGAAGTGGAGATGCTGGAGAGTGGGATAATGTGTCTGGTGAGCGGAGCTGTGGCTCTGGTGTTTCTGGTAGTGATATGTTGTCCTGACTTCCCTGGCTGTTTTCCAGAAATTCATCCTTGGGTGCTGAGTCTTGGAGCTGTTCTGATACGTCATTGTGCCGCCATAATTATAAGTAAAACATGATTAATCATTGGGAAAAGGAACTACTTACTTGCATATGTCTTAATTTAACAACGAGACACAACATCAAGAAAATACTGATCACAATGAGAATGTCCACATGATTTCAAGCACAAATCATTTAACATCATAACCATAATATTAGGAGGGGTGCATCCACCGCACACTGCTAAATTAAACCCAGATCAATATCACCACCTGCTGGCGAAGGCTGTGTTAAGACATTACCTTTGCCATCTAAAAGACAAATACAACTGAGAAAAAATAGTGCAACCTTGTCTGCAAATCTACCCAAGAGAACCATATCCCCCAGACACTTTAAATATAATGTTGAAACTTCATTTCAAATAAAATGTCTTTCCAAAAGTTCACAGACCTGATTAGTTGTGTTTGCACACCACACTGCACATTTTCAACCAACACAAGTTTTTGTGTTATAGTCTTTTCAGGCTTAAAAGTATGCATTTTGTAAGTGTGTAAAAAAATATGTATTTTGTAGCAAATTGTTTGCAACAATAGCTTGCAGTTTAATCAGTAAGTTTTGAGTTACAAGAGTTTTGCCCACTGTGCCACACAACCTGTTTTAAGGATTCTAGGAGTCTGTGCTGTTTATGCAAATCAAGCACAGCAGAGAGGTCTACAGAGACATGTTTTATACTATAAAAAACAGCATGTACTGGCGACTCTTAGTTCTTCTAAACCACAGCACAAGTAGAGCTAATTCTCTGCACATTCACACATTATTTGAAGATGAAGTGATGGTAATTTCAGATCATATCACAGAAGTTATTTCTGGTAATGCAATCACATGTATATTGTTTAACTGACTTTATATTCACATGATATATTATTTAAAACATTGTGGTTATCTATAGCTGATAACCATCAAAACTGTTTATTTGTAAGATACATAAAGATCACATTAACTTTTTCTGTTCTCATCCTCAGGTCAATGAATCCATTCTTTGCTTAATGGAAAATGGAAAATGGAACATATTTTTACTTGATGTTGTTTGAAAATGTTGGGTACATAAGGTATGCTTTATTCGGTTTGGGATTTATTCTATATTGTGCTATTGTATTCTTTAATGCCCTTATTATTTTTGCAATTTTTCTGCAAAGGGCATTGCACCAAGCCATGTACATTCTGATTTCATGTTTATCCGTCAACTCTGTGTTTGGAACAGCTGCTTTTTTCCCGAGGTTACTGACAGACTTGCTGTCTGATACACACTCAGTCTCCCGTGAAGCATGTATCTTACAGGCTTTTGTCATTTATTCATATGCATCAAATGAAAACACGATATTAATGTTAATGGCATTTGACAGGTATGTAGCAATCAGTAAACCATTACAATACAACAACATAATGACCCCCAGGATTTTATCTGTTTTAATAGCTATAAGCTGGATTTATCCGATGCTTTGTATTGCTATTGCTGGTATATTAAATGCCAGTCTCATGATGTGTGGTAACAAACTGTGGAAGGTGTACTGTCACAACTGGGAAATTGTCAAGCTTTCTTGTGCAAACACTATTGTTAATAATGTTTTTGGCTTGTTCATACTGACCACAACTGTTATCATGCCTTTAAGTTTTATATTATACTCTTATGTTAAAATCCTTATCATTTGTAGAAAAAGCTCACTAGATTTATATTATATTCTTATGCTAAAATCCTTATCATTTGTAGAAAAAGCTCACTAGATTTCAGGAGAAAAGCATATCAAACTTGTATTCCACACATAGTGATCCTCTTAAATTTCTCAGTAGCTCTTTTTTGCGAGGTCACTTTGAGTCGGGTTGCAACTTTCGAACTCCCTATAGGGCTGTCAATCATTCTTTTGTAGCGAATCAGCTCAAAGGGGAAATATGAATAATTAAT